TGGAGGTCTCAGGTGTCCCAGAAGGCCTGGTGTTCTGGGCACTCGATTTTCCTGTCCTTTGTTGCATTTGAGGGCTCCCACTTAGCCCACTGTCTGGGTGATTCTTTTTCCCAGTGCAGACATGGGTTGCATTTCTTATGCTCTTAAGGCTCCTAATGGCTCCATTGTCCAGGTGTCATGTTTGTCCGGCGCTAAGCTTGGTTGCAGGGGTTTGGCAAGAGTGCTGCTGGTAAGCCTGGTGTGTGGGCACTCAATTGCCCTATGAGTCACTGGAAGTCATAGATACAGAAATTAGGAAACCAAAAGAAAGAAAAGGCATCCAAATTGTTAAGGAAGAATGAAAACTTTCACTATTTGCAGATGACATGATACTCTGTAGAGAAAACCCTAAACACTCTACCAAAAAAATACTAGATCTGATAAATGAATTCAATAAATTTCAGGATAATGAATGAATGTTCAGAAATCTGTTGCATTTCTATCCATTACTAATGAAATAGCAGAAAGAAAAACTAAGAAAACAATGCCACTTGCAATTGCACCAAAAATAATAAGATGCTTAAGAATAAACCTAACCAAAGGGGTGAAAGGGCATTGAGGAGGGCACCTGTTGGGATGAGCACTGGGTGTTGTATGGAAACGAATTTGACAATAAATTATATTTAATATAAAAAATAATCAATGTGAATATGAAAGATCATACTCATCCAAAGTAAAAAAAAAAAAAAAAAAAAAAAAAAAAAAAAAAGGAAAAGAATAAGAATACAAAGTTGCAAATAAAATTTTAGATAGAAATAAGAATTTACTTAGAATAACAAATTATAACAAATTACAAATTTAACAAAGTTGCCAAATACTATAAACATTAAAAAATTCAGAAAAATATAATGTTTTTATTAAATAACTACCTGTCAAGTTTCCATATTTTTTCTGTTTTTCGCTTGCCTATTCTTTGATTGCTTTTTACGTGACAATGCTTTCCTGTTATGTTTTGCAAAGAGAGAATAAAAAGAGAATTCAGTCTTTCCTCCAGAAAAAATATATACTCTGAAAACTACAAAATATGGATGAAAGAAATTGAAGATGACACAAAGAAATTATAAGCCATTCAATATTCATGGATAGGAAGGACAAATATTAATAAAATGTATCTACTACCCCAAGCAATTCACTAATCCATGCCATATCTATCAAAATACTACCAGCACTTTTCACAGAACTAGAGAAAACAATCCTAAAATTTATATGGAACCTCAATAGACCAAGAATATCGAATGCAATCTTAAAAATGAAAAACTGGAGGCATCACAATTCTGGACTTCAAGTTACATTACAAAAGTGTCATAAACAATACAATATGATGACATCATAAAAACAGACATATAGATCAGTGGAATGGAAAGAAAACTCAGAGATAAACCCACAGTTATATGGTCAATTATTCTTGGACAAATCAAGAAAGAACGAACAATGGGAAAAAAATCTCTTCAGCAACTAGTGTTAGGAAAACTGGAAAGCAACATGCAGAAGAATGAAACTGGAGCACTTTGTTACAGCATACAAAAAAGTAAATTCAAAATGAATGACAGACCTAAAGATGAGACCTGAAGTCATCAAAATCTTAGAGAACAGAGGCAGTAACCTCTTTGACATTGGTTGTAGCAACTTCTCATCAATGACACTGAAGTGTGTAACAGAATTCATTTTGTACTTACAAGTTGAAAATGTTCCTCAGTGTATGCTTTGAAACAGTTATATGAGTTTGAAAAACATATGTATCAATGACCAATCCTGCTCTTGATCAATTAATAAAACAGTATAATTTAATTCTCTGTGGAAAAAATAAACTATATAGAGATGAAAATAACACAGGGACACATATATGACATAGAAATATAAAATAGAAAACACCTAACCATAAAAAAGCACATATATTTAGCATATTCTAAAATGAAATGTTACTTGAATAAAACCAGTCACTAATGTAGCTCAGGTTTTGTTAAGATTTCATGTCTACCCACAATAGACACACACATTATACAACTGTTGTGACTCTGTTACATTTTGATGACTTTCAGAAAGGTGTTCTTCTGTATCTTTCATGCCAGCAGTGGGTTCTCAACTTTGCTACTTAGAGCTTGTCTAATTCAATTGAATTATAAATATAATATGCCTAGTACCCACCAGTTGTTCACAGTGGACCATTGGTCAATGTCAAGATACTCAACAGTGTGGCTATTTCATTTCAATCTGCATCCATTGAAATAGAAGTGATTTAAAGCCATTTCAAAAATTTTGTTATAAGTGTTTCAGTGCCTGTACCCCATACAATTACCAAAAAGTATCATTTAAGAGAGATTTCATCTTCTTTGCATATAATCCTATGTTGTTGTAAATGTTAGGCACCCATAGATAGACATTTAAGTAATCCATGATGAGGTTTTCCACCAGGGTCACCTGTTATATTGATACTTCCCTTCCCTCATTTAAACCTAGCCCAGGAAAACCGTGTTTGCTGTCTTGTTGTTGTTTGTTTGTTTTCACAAGTGTAAGCTAAATCTATTGAATAAGCATGTTATAATAATAGTCTTGTTTCCAAAAAATACACTGAAATCAAAGTGTTTTAAATTTACTCTTTTTGGATTTCAATCCGGCTTTCTTTGTTTTTGAATACTATTAATACTAATTTGTGTAAGGGTCCTGGTGAAAACAGAAATGCCCTTAACCCTTTCTGTGTTGGGAACACTTTGAAATTTATGTCACTAAGACTGACAGTGTTCAATAATAAGCAACACTGGAAGGACGGGAGTTACACTGCAGTGATCCAGGCACTTGTTCTTCAGAAACACACTCTGTGCTAATGTAAGTACAGAGAGGGTAATTCTCATACACTCACTGGGTCACACTCTGATTCCATATAGTCAAGAGGGCAGGTTTGCCAAGGAGAACCCTGAGGTGTGCTGTGTCCCAGAAATGCACCACACCTCTGTAAACTCTTTAGCATAAACATGTTAAAATGGATAGAAAATTAATGCCCTACTTCATCAGATGTGTGCATGTGTCCTCTCTCTGTGGTGATCTTGTTTGCCTTTCTTTTTCTGTTTGCCCCGCATCTCCTTTTCTAGATGATCAGAGCAGCTGCCACAGGTTGTGTGTGTGTGAGTGTTGGTATTTATACATTTATGATCATGGCTCCTAACAGAAAAAACTGCCTTAGAAAAGTGTTTTCTATTTCTCTCTTTCATAACACAAAATTATGTTTCTATCAAAGAACTGGTCTTAACCTGAAAAACAAAATTGTTTAATTTCTTGGTTTATGTTATTCAACAGCAAAACAAACCAAAAATGTCTTTTTGGAAATTATTGTTGATCATAATAAATTACTCAATTTCTTGCTGGAAGCCACTAATTGATATTTTATACCTACCCACTATTATTTGCACACATGAACTTATACATACTATACCTGCAGGAGACTAAATTTAATTGAAAAGTCTCAAATGACATTCTTCAATTGCCAGCTACTTTTAATTGTAAACCAAACTATTTATTTGAGAGAGAGGATGAGAGTCAGGGAGGGACAGAGAGAGAAGGAGTAAGAGAATCAAAACAGGCTCCACACTGTCAGTGCAGATCCTGATGTGGGGCTCAACCCACAAAATGTGAGATCATGACCTGAGCTGAAATCAAGAGTCGGATGTTTAACCAACTGAGCCACCCAGGCTCCCCTTGCAGTGTATATTTTTGGTACTGAGAATAGTAAATTCAGTATTTAGACACACAAGTTTCGTGTCAGACATGCCACTTGATGCGTATCAGGAGTTTTATTGTGTGTACTGATAGTTGTGTTCACTATACTAGTGTATATACCAGCATGTGTACTTATGTCTGCCACTGTGTGTGCTAATGTGTTCTAGGTGTACCAGTGTGTACTAGTGTGTATAATAGCATATGTACTACAGTATGTCCTAGTATGTGTACTAGGTGTGCCAGTGAGTGTACAGCTAGTGCTAGGGTGCGCTCATGTGCATATTAGCATGTGTATTTGTGTGTGCTTGTGTGTGTACTAGTATGTATGTTCAGTGTGCCAGTAAGTGTACAACTAATCCTAGTGTGTCATAATGTGTATACTAACATGTGATACGTGTGTGTGCTAATGTGTTGTAGGTGTGCCAGTGTGCACTTGTGTGTATACCAGCATATGTACTAGAGTGTGTGATAGTACGTGTACTAAGTGTGCCAATGAATGTACAACTACCACTAGTGCACACTCATGTGTATATAGCAAGTGTACTTGTGTCTGCTATTGTGTTTGCTTGTATGTGTACTAGGTGTGCCAGTGAGTGTAGAAATAATGCTGGAGTGTGCTCTTGTTTATACTAATGTGTACTTGCATATGCTTGTGTGTGTGCTAATAGTTGTACTCGTGTGAAATAATATTTGGGAACTAGCATGTGTACAAGTGTGTATAAGTGTATATGAGATGTGCTAATATATGCTAGTATGTACTAGTGTGTGTACTAGTAAATGACAGTGTATATACTAGCATGCACTAGTATTAACATATATACTAGTGTGTGATAGTGTGTAATAGGTTTACAACTCTGTGTGCTAGCTAGCATGTGTTCTAGCTGTGTGTTAGTACTTGTGCTACATTGAGCATAGCTTGTGTGCTACAGTGTATTAGTGCGTAGTAGTATGTACTGGGCATACTATTGTGTGTACTGACATAGCAGTTTTATACTAGCGTGTACTCATGTGTTTACTAGCCATTTACTTGTATTTGTGCTAATATGAATACTAATTTGTGTGCTATTGTATCCTAGTGGGTAGTAGAGTGTGCTAGACATGATGTTGTGGTCTACTGTGTGTCCTAGATGTGTACTAATGTACACCCCTGTGTACACTAGTGTATACGTGTGTGTGTGTGTGTGTGTGTGCGCATGCTAGTGTGTGCTAGGCGTGTGCACTAGGAAGAATAATGGAGGATTGCATCACAAATGACATCATGGCAACATCCCAAGCAGTATGCCTTGGGCATACATGATGTCATAGAGGACCAGCCAATCAGAATCCTCCCCAGCCTGTGGTCCTCTGGTGGGTGGCAGTGGTTGGGAGTGAAGGCAGAGTTTGAAGCAGGAGTTTCCAGGGTACCCACAGTCCTGGACCTGGGAACCTCCCCACAGTGGGCGTGCAGCATAGCTCCTGTAGTTCCACCCCCTGGAGTCCCTCCCTCCCACATCTCCTCAGATATCCTGTCACCTGAGCCTGCAGTTATCTGCTTCAGGTGAGTTACTTTTTAGGGAATGTTCATCACTTGTGCTCTGAATTAGTTTTGCTATTTGAAGGTCCTGGGTTTGAATCCTTGCCCTACTGTTTGCTGTCTTGGGAAAATTGCTTAATTTCAGTAAGCCTGAGTGTCATTGTCTACAAAATGAGCTAGTGTGCAGGTCTTTTTAGGGTTGTTTATTGTTTAAATGAGATAATCTGAGTTAAATACTGAGCACATTGTCTATCCTAAGAAAGTACCCAATAAGGATCACCAGTAAGGGTAATATACCCTTAATCATTAAATATTCATGTTCTTCCAATGTATCTTCTTACACCTTGTATGGTGTTTTTTTAATTGAGATGTAAATGATATATTACATTAGTTTTATGTGTACAAAATAATGATTTTATATATAGTGTAAAAATATCAACAAAATACATGTTAATATTCACCACCATGAATATTCACAATATCTCTCATAGTGAAAATCAACTTTTAGCGAGTATTAGACAAGATCACTAGCTAGAGTCACCATGCTGCTTTTTAACCACCTTCAGCCAATTTGCCCACCTCCTGACCCCACGTCTGTCAACTACTAATCTCTTCTTTGTATCTGTGAGCTTTTTCTCTTTATGAGATTCCACATATAAGTGATCTTGTGTATTTGTCTCTTATTTCCATGAGCATAATGACTTCAAGGTCAATCCATGTTGACAAAGTGGTCAGATTTCATTCTTTTCATGGCTAAATAGTAACTGCAGTATGTGTATGTGTGTGTGTGTGTGTGTGTGTGTGTGTGTGATGTCTCCTGTACCCATTCATCCATCTATGGTCACATAGGCTGTTTCCAGATGTTGGCTATCGTAAATACTGCTTCAGTGAATGTGAGGGTGGGTATATCTCTTAGGATTAGTGTTTTTGTTTCCTTCAGATGAATGCCCAGAAGCGAATTGCTGGATTTTATGGTAGTTCCATTTTTAATGTTTTTGAGGACCCTCCATGCTGTTTTCCAGAGGGTCTGTACCAAGTTACTTTCACACCAATGGTGCACAGGATTCCTTTTATCCACAGTCCTGCCAAACTTTGTTATTTCTTGTCTTTTTTAGTAAGATCTGTTGTGACAGGTGTGAGGTGATAGCCTTTGTGATGTTGCTTGTCATTTCCATGCTGGTTAGTAATTTCAGCACCTTCCACAGCTTCATTGTTTGGCTATTGTGTCCTATCCAGTATACACACAAGTCTCTTTTCACATTATGATTTGAAAATATTTTCTCCCATTCAAAAGGTTGTCTTTTAATTTTTATTGATTGTTTCTTTTGATGTGCTGAACTTTTTAGTTTGATGTAGTCCCACTTGTTTATTTTATATTTATCCTTTACTTGTGGTGTCAACCTCCCCCCCCCCCCCCCCCCCCCCCCCCGCCCCAAATCATCTCAAAGACTAATGTCAAGATGATTCCCACCTATGTTTTCTTCTGGCAGTTTTATAGTTTCAGGTCTTATGTTTCACTCCTTAACACATATTGAAGTGACTTTTGGGTGTGGTTGACGACAGGGGCCCAGGCTCCTTTTTTTTGTTTGTTTGCTTTGCATGTGGCTGTCTGTTCTCCCAGCACCATTTATTGAACAGATTGTCCTTTCCCCATTGTGTGTTTTTGGCTCCTTCATTGTAAATTCATTAGTTATATGTATGTGGTTTCATTTCTATTCTCTCCATTCTTTTCCATTGATCCATGTTCTTATTTTTATGCCAGTACCATGCTATTTTGTGTAATATCTCTTTGTAATTGGAGTTGCTTTTGTATTTTGGTAGTAGTTATGTTATGAGCAGATAGGGGATTTTAGTAAGTGGCACAGGGGCAGGTTGTCTCCTGGTGATGCCCACGTCCAGCTCACAAATGGGAGTCAGACTCAGAGAAAAAGAGACATTCCTGTGTGAGGATAAAGAAACTTTAACTGCCGCCACCTTCCCCATATCTTAAATCCTGGTCGTGTGAGTTTGACGCTGTGTATAAAAACACAGTTGAGCATGAATATAGTTTGAAAATGGATGTGTGTTTCAAGATGCATGGGCAAAAAGATTTTCCTGTTGGAATGTACATTCAAAGGTTTAAGATAACTGATTTATAGCACAGATGAATCTATTCTGTCTGGGAGGAGGATGGGACATATTTGTGGTGTGCTACACCATAAAGAAAAGGGGTGGGAAAGATGTAGAGCAGAATTTAGCTTTTTGTAAATTTTAATTTTTTATTATTTTTTTAAATACAATTTATTTTCAAATTGGTTTCCATACAACACCCAAGTGCTCATCTCAACAAATGCCTTCCTCCATGCCCATCACTCACTTTCCCCTCTCCCCTACCCCCCATCGACCGTCAGTTTGTTCTCAGTCCTTAAGAGTCTCTTAAGGTTTGCCTCCCTCCCCTCTATGTAACATTTTCCCCCTACCCTTCCCCCATGGTCTTCTGTTAAGTTTCTCAAGATCCACATATGAGTGAAAACATATGGTATCTGTATTTCTCTGTCTGACTTATTTCACTTAGCATAATACCCTCCAGTTCCATCCATGTTTCTGCAAATGACAAGATTTCATTCTCTCTCATTGCCAAGTAATATTTCATTGTATATATAAACCACATCTTCTTTATCCATTCATCAGTTGATGGACATTTAGGCTCTTTCTATAATTTGGCTATTGAAAGTAAGCAGCATCTAGCAGCATGACAGAGGTGGCTCTGTCATGAATATTTGCTGGAAGACTAGCCCTGTAGATGTCTTGACCAAAGCTGACCACTAGGGCTGTAAAACATAAAACCTTTTAGTGGCTACATGTTTTCTTGAGATAAGACCAAATTTTGACCATGGACTCCCTAGCTCTGTGTATTCCTCTCTTTACTCCAGAACCAATCCCTCCTCTGACCAATGAGGCATTTTTTTTCCTTTGGTCTTCCAATTACCCTCCCCCAACACATGCATCGCCTCCTCTGTGGACATGTACCAGTAAACCAGGTTCCATGAAGCAGAGACCACCTGTGTTCCCCCTGCCCCTCATGTGTCTCTTTGCTAATACAGTAGTAGCAGATAGCAAGAGCTTGAGGAGTGTTCGCAAATCAGGGAAGGAGGCAGTTTTGTGTCAGACCCTGTCTTTCATCCCTGTCTTCAAGGAACTCCTGACTGTGCAGTGGAAGAAACAGATAGCTGTGCTGTGGGATCAGTGCTCTAGTAGAAGAAAACCCAGGGCACTCTGAGAAAACACATGGGTGTGTCTGTCAAAAACACCTTCACAGAGAAAAGGAAACTCAAAAGGGCATTTGCACAAAGCCAGGGGAAAGAGAAGAGAGAGGAGTTACTGTAGGCTCCCTCTGCTGGTGGTTAATCACCCACCCTGTCTTCTCTCAAGACTGAGCTCCATGGCCTCATTCTCATTTCTTATCTCCCTCCTTGTGATCTGTGTGAGCCTCTATTATACTCCCTCCAGTGGGTCATGGCAGCTGCTTGCCAGCTTTTAATTTCTATGAGTATACTTCCCTTTGAGGTCTCTGGTCTTTTCCTTCTACTTGCTTGGTAAATGTCTTGTGGTGGAATGACTTTGTTGTGATCATGTACTGTTATTGTGGGAGGAAAATTTGGAGTTCATCCCCTCCTTTTATGGATAGACAAACTGATTCTCAGCAGAGAAATTACTTGCCCAAAGACAAACCCTTGGTTTGTGCAAATGAGGACCAGCACTTAGGTATCCTATTGAGGCAATGGCTCCATCCTAAGCATACTTCCTTTTTGTTTTCCTTGTCTTCTCTTTCTCCTTCTCCTTCTCCTTCTCCTTCTCCTTCTCCTTCTCCTTCTCCTTCTTCTCCTTCTCCTCCTCCTCCTCATTTTTCTTCTCCTTCTTTTTTCAATTTAAAGTTAGTTGACATAAATTGTATTCTTAGCTTCAGGAGTAGAGCCTAGTGATTCATCTCTTACATATGACACGTAGCGCTCAATCCGTAAATTGCACTTCTTAATGCCCATTACCCATTTAACCCATTCCCATACCCACCCCTCCTCCAGCAACCATTAGTTTCTTCTGTGTGTTTAATATCTCTTATGGTTTGCTCCCTCTCTGTTTTTATCTTATTTTTCATTCCCTTACCCTGTGTTCATCTGTTGTGTTTCTTAAATTCCACATATGAGTGAAATACAATATCTGTATTTCTCTGACTGACACTCCATCCATGTCATTGCAAATGGCAAGATGTCATTCTTTTTTTATGTCTGAGTAATATCCCATTGCCTATATACACTACACCTTCTTTATCCATTCATCAGCTCTTGGACATTTGGGTTCTTTCCATAGTTTAGATTTTATTCATATAACTGCTATAAACTTTGGGGTGTATGTGCTCAAGGATTTATAACTTGATTCTTTAATCTGTCACCTCTGCCATCAAATAATATTTCCTCGCATATATATGTTACTTCACTAGATGAACAATATACAACCGAACACAACATTTCCCCTTTCTGACCTTTGTGACATTCATGTCTTCTGTTTTACTTGACACTTGCTATAGACTAAGCAGTATGTTGCTTTTACATTTCCTTAAACCTTACAGTATCTTTTAGAGGAAAATTTTAAATGAGATGATGAAAGTCTGATATTTTTCCAGTTACTATTTGTACCCTCTTCATTACTTCCTACATACCAGTGCCCATCTGTTACCATTGTCTGTTGGCCTGAAGAACTCTCATCGACATTTCTTGTAGTGTGAGTCTATTCTATGACACTTGCAGTGTTGATATGCCTGAAATGGATTTATTTGTCTTCATTTACTTAAGGAAATTTTTCTAGATGTGGAATTTGAGATTGTCATTGGCATTTTCCTTCTTTCATGATTTAAAGATGTCATTTAACATTATTGGTTTATAATTTCTTCTAATAAAGAGTTGGCAGGCCATTTAGCCTTTAGCCATATGTATCATGTGTGCTTTCTGAATGTTTTCAGATTTTTCTTTCTCACTCATTTCCACAACTTCATTATTATAGGTCACTGTCTGATTTTGTGTTTGTGTTTTTCTGCTTGGGGTTCACAGAAACTTTTGCATGGATGGGTTTATGGTTTTATCCAGTTTGGAGATTTAAGGCAATTACTGTTGGGTCTCACCCATTCTTGTGTTGTCCCACGAGTCACTGATGCTCTTTACATTTATCTCCTATCTCTTAGTGTCTCTGGGCTTCCATTTGCATAGTTCCTATTGCTGTATCTTCAAGTTCTCACACTTTATTTGTCTGCATCAACCCATCATTCTTTCTTGTTTGATTTTGTTTATGTTTATTTATTTTTGAGAAAGAAACAGAACATGAGTAGTGGAGGGACAGAAAGGGAAACACAGAGTCTGAAGCAAGGTCCTGTCTCTGAGCTGTCAGCACAGAACAAGACGTGGTGCTTGAACCAACAAACCATGAGATCATAACCTGCACCGAAGTCAGATGCTTAATTGACTCAGCCACCAAGGTGCCACTCATCCCTTCATTCTTAAAGCCCATTTGGTATAGTTTTTCATTTCACATATCCTAGTTTCAGCTCTGTAAATTCTATTTTATTATTCTTTATTATTTCCCTTTGTCCCCGCATCACATGTGTATTTTCCTTTTATTCCTGAGCATATTTAATGGCTCTTTTCACATTTTCACCTGCCATTTGGGGTCTTTGTCTGTGGACTGCTTATTCTCATTGTCACGAGTCCCATTACCCTACTTATTTGGATGTCAAGTAATTTTTTATTGGAGGGTGGACATGAGACTGTGACAGTGTTGAAAATCTGGATTTTTTTTATACCCTTCTTATGAGTGCTGAATGTCATTTTGGCAATTAGTTGATAATTTCTGTCTCAGCTTCATCTTCTCTAGGTTTAATGTTTTTATTATGGTAAGATATACAATGCATAGTATGTACCATTTTCTCGACTTATTTTTAGGCTTTGATGGATGAGTTGAGATTAGCATTTGTTCTAAAGTCATGTTGTTAGATTTAATACTGACATGTGACCTGTCGTGGGGTCTCATGATCCATGTATTGATTCATTTTGCTGTGTTGTATTTAAAGATGACTCTGAGTGACACATTTGGGTTTGTATTGTTTGACTCTTTTGGCCTCACCATGACTTTAGTAAAAATAGATCTCACAT